TCATTTCGTGGTATAGTTGAAGAAACTGGAATGTGATCAGATATTGGCTGTACTCGTTCTTGTTGTTGTTGAGTAGTTGAAGAAATTGGAATATGATCATATACTGGTTGTATTTGTTCTTGGTGGTGTTGTTGTTGAGATCGTTTTTGAATCGATAATGGATCTTCTTTGAACTTTTGTTGTTGAATAGAATCTATGGTTTGTGCATTATTAATATTAGAATTATCATTCGATATTGGAATGTTTTGTATTGTTGGACTACTTGATGGTGTTTCTACTGAATGTTGTTGAGTGAATGTTTGCACAGGTGTAAAAGGAGATGTTGCATCATTTGAAGATAATACTTGTGCTTGATTTTGTGATGAAATATCTACAGCTGGAATTGTATGGCGTATTTGTTGTTCATTTACAGGCTGATTAGATTCATAAACTAATGGTTTATTTAAATCCTGTGTAGTTTGAAAACGTCCTTCAATTGCATCATTATTATTAGTTTCTAAATATATTTAACTTAATTTTTTTATAAATAATCAAAGAATTCAACTAACCTATAGTTTTACTATTAGACGATTCCGATTGTTTAATTATCACTGGGTCTACATGATTCAAATCATGACAATAACCATAATAAATTAATAAAAAACACGGTAACAATACATTGTATAACCTCATCTAAATTAATTAAAATAAAATATTGCTTTTGTTTGAAAGAAATAAAACAAAAAAACCAATTTATATGACAATTGTAACGCCAACACCACGATGACGACTATGCATCCATTCTAAACGGTATTTTAAAGCGTCCAATAAGAAAGCGAATGTTATAAATTGAGTTTTACAAGAGAACAAAATGGTAAGAGCGACAGTTAAAGCAATATAAAAACATGCGGAATCATTCTATTTAACATCTAATAAAAGAAATATGTTTTATTTTTTAATTTTATATGGTAACACGTATAATAAAAATAGGAGGTGCATCAATAACAGATAAAAGTCAATTTGAACATGTTAAATTATCAAATATCGATTTTATCGTCGATTTATTTAAAAATAATTATAAAAATTTAATTTTAATTCATGGTGCTGGTTCATTTGGGTATGTCGTAATAGAAATTGTATATAAAAGAATTTTTATTAATTGTTTTTAGTCATCATCAAGCTAAAGAATTCCGATTAAATGAAGGTTATATAACTACAGATGATTATGAAAAATGTCGATTAGGTGTTTGTGATACTCGTAGATCATTAGGACATTTACAAAAATATTTATTAGATGCATTTCTTCGTGCACAAATACCAGTTGTTGGTATATCACCATTTGATTTTCTTATATCTGATCAATTTGAATTAATTGATGAAACTTATAAACATCTTTGTCAACGTTTAGAAATACTTCTTTCAAATGGTTATGTTCCACTTTTACATGGTGATGTTTTATTAGATAAAACAAAACATTGGAGAATATTTAGTGGTGATGATCTTTTATTAAAATTAGCCGAACATTTTCATCCACGTCAATGTATTTTTTTAACATCAGTACCAGGTATTCTTCAATCAAATGGAAATGTTATAGAAGAATTTTATATTGGTGAAAATAAAGTTGATGAACTTAAACAACAATCGACAAGTATTGATGTAACAGGATCAATGCAGAATAAAGTCATGATTGCTAGTGATATTGTTAATAAAATAGATAATTGTCAAGTATTTATTATTCAAGGTGTTAGTGAAAATGCAAGACAACTTTTAACATCATCATCAATGGATGATGAAGCATTTATTTTACATGGAAGTACAAGAATTTTGAAAAAAACTTGATGGATTACTTTTAACTTTCATAAATAAAATGATTGAACGACAGATCTATAACTATTAATCTTTCGAACATAAAAACTAGAGTAAAAGTGATGATTATAAGTATTATTTATTGGGTACGAATTAAATGATCAGTTGTTTTTCTTATAGCGTAATCAGTATTTTTAATCAGTAAATATATCCTTTCTGAGCAGTAAATAATCTTGAGGGTGTGGGTGTGAATGTGCCTGTGGATGTGACTGTCCATCTCTTATCCATCCACACCCGGTTTAAATTTTTTACTGATAATTCACAATAAAACTACTGATCGCTTTTACTGATCATTTTGAATAAAAAACTGGCCATTTAATTTGTATCCTTATTTATTGCGTCATAAGTTATTTTTCTTCAACGAATATGAATGCAAGTATTTTATTTCAAATAACTGATGTATCTTAGTAGAAAGAAAGAGAAAAAAAAGATTAAAGCAATCTACTATCACGATCATTATCAGTGTATTGACATTCTTTGTATTTATGATTAATCATGTATTGTATTAGTATATGGGATGATGAACATTATGATCAAAAGAATTAGTTCTTTGTATAACAAAATATTGTTCTATTATGTTTGAATAAAATAATCTCTACTATGAACATGTCAATCATTTTCTTACTCTTTAGAGGATATTTCTGATTTTTTAAAAGTCAACTATCACAAACTGACATGACAGTGTTTTAGAAATATTATCTGTTTTAATTATCTTTTTCTATCAGTCGATTAAAATAGCCAATCAATAGTTAAAAATTGAAGAAGTATTATAAAGTATTTAGTACACGATCATTTGGTCAGTGAAAGCAAGAAAATTTTTAAATAGCACGCTTTCTTTAATTATAGTGTTACTGAGACAATAACGTCATCATCGTCGTTCTAAGGAAAGTTCATAAATAATTTATATATTAATCATTTTCTTCTCGTTCTTATTTAACCAAAAAAAGAAAAAAAGAAATGATTGAAGCTATACTCTTCTTAAATTTCCGATGAAACACATCGACATTTGACAAGTCGTATGAAAGTAGAATCAACCTAATGATATCCTATATACATGACAATAATCTATCTAAATGATCAATTTTTTGTGCTATATACTTCTAATTGAGATGAAGTGAATGTTTTATATTATCACGAGAGAAGAAAATGTTCACTTTCTTTTTCTCATTTTCTATTGATTGAATCTCTATGTTTTTTTTCTCTATCACCAAATTCATATAGAAAAAAAAATTTCGAGAGTCCTGTTGAAGTCTTTTTCATCTTGCTGTTCTCTTAACTTTTATATGTACATACAAATTATATCATGATGAAACAGTACGAATATTGACTGTATTCAATTCAATTGAACATCGAATCAAGTCTGCACTTGATCGAATGCTTTGATATAGCAAATTTTCAATTTAATGGTATGTTGTCCTTTGTAATTTGTTCGTTTTTTTTTATTTCACTTCTTTCAACAATTAGTAAGACATATATAGAAGAAAGCAGACACTTGTCATCTATAGCTTCACAACAGAAAGAAAAGATTAAACGAGAGCATAAAAATTATTTGACCATTTTGATGGTACTGTAATGCTTCGACTTCTTTCATTTTCTCCACCTACCTAATGGATAATTGAAAAGAAAAGGAATCAGTAATAATGTTCTAGAGCTATTAGACATCTATATGTATTGCCCAAAGAATATAAAAAAAAAACTAAGCCCTAGTATTTTTTAATGAAATGTGACTATTATATTCATCCTAGAAAATGTCATATAGTTTTTTTTTTGAATATAATCATCCGACTTGAACATCATCTATATATATATATGCTTGTGTCATCCCATTAAGTTTGTCTTTCTCATTCTCATTTTGTTGATGTTAGAATGAATAATAGAATACAAAATGAACTGACAAGTAATCAAATAGTACCAACAATCATTCAATCATTCTCTCACACACATAAACGCTCACGTAAGTCTAATTGGTCAAATCATCATGCTTTCGCTTTCATATATTTGTACTGAAACATATCTAATAAAGAGAAGTAACTGCCTAATAGCCTAGAGTATATACTAATAGCTCTAACAAATGATAGATAGTTAGAAAGAGATGTTGAAAGAATGTGCATGCATACAAAAGTACGTTTCATTTATTTATTGCACCCTTGCGGCATACTGTATATTAACTAAAGAGAAAACAACATACACAATCGATTATATTGAAGGCCTTTTTTTCGCCCCTCCTAATTGTCCAAATTATTATAATAATCATAAATATTAGTAGTTACGTGCTATAAATATGACCATAACAATTCATCGCAACTATCATTTGATTAACAAACAACAAAACCAATGCCAGTTTTTCTATATGTAAGTTCAAATTTGTATTGATTTTTATTAATCTATAATAATCATTAGTATTTTCAATCGTCAATAAAATGTCTGGTTGTGGTTCATGGCTAAATCGACGGTGTTGCTGTCGTCGTCAATCACAAGGAACTTATATCTATTTATATAGTCCACCAATGGGTAGTTCATCATCATTATTTCATTGTCTTACTTGTATTCTATGTGGATTTTGTCTTGCTTTTATTCTTATTCTAACAGCAATTATTATCTATAATATGAATAATACAAATATAATTTTAACATCAAAATCAAATCCTGATCAACATATATATCCAATTGCAAAAAAACGACAATTACAAGATTTTGTTAATATTAATATAGATCCATGTGAAAATTTTTATGATTTTGTTTGTGATAAATGGACACAAGAAAAGAAAGTCGATATTTATAATGACGAAGAAGAATATCAACAAAAATGGACTCGTATTCGACATAAAATACACGATAAATTAATGATTAACATGAGTAATAATCAACCAAAATCAAGTGAAAGTATGAAATAATTATATATATACAATGAGTTTCTATATTAATTATATATTTAGATAATTTTTCATCGACAGCTTTATCTGTTTCGACATTATATCAGTTATGTGAAACACAATCACCTTCTTTATTACTTGATGAACTTGAACGTTATTTTGCTCTATTTATTCAACAAGAACCATATAGATCATATTCAACACTTTTTAATCAAACAACTGTACTCCACTCAAAATCCATACCAATAACTTTCGATTATAATCCATTTTTTAAATTAATTCATTCATCATCTAATAATACTGATTACTCATTTTCAACTATACTTCGAATTAATCGTCGACCATTACCATCACCGTTGGTTATACTCCCTAATTTAGCTGTATTAAATCAAACAGCACTTTCTAATCTTATTAAATTTGATAATGATTATACAAAATTTTTAAAACAAGCAAACAATAGTATCAAGTTGTATGAACAAGAATACAATCAAAATTCATTAATTATCAAACGTATATTATTATATCCAAATTATCATCTATGTATTTCATCATTAAATGAGACAAATGGTTTTAAAAAATTAATTCAATTATTAAATTATTTTCTTCGATATCGTTTACGTAAATTTAATACAAAATTAATGGATAAACAAATTCGTATATTAGAAAAAATTACTAATAATGATACACGTGTTGAACATTTACGACGTATTCAATCCGAATTTAAAGTACTTGAAAATATAATACCATTAGAAAATCAATCTATTGATGATAATAGTTCATGTATACTTAATTTACTTGATAAATTACTTGATAAAAGAATGAAAATCTATGAATTATCACCAGATATTAACTTCTATTCACCAAATCGAACAATAAAATATTTTACATCCAATGATTGGCCTTATTTAATTATGTTATATAATCATTTATTAAAAACAACACCAGCGGATACATTAACTAATTTTGTTTTTTTCGATTATTATCGACATTTAATTTATCCATATTATCAACCACATATTCATCGTTCTATAGATTTTGATATAAATTATCGAAATGAATCTTATGAAAATCTATATGAAACATATTATCCCAATATATCATGTCCTATTAACAGTTGTTTTGATATATTAAATTGTTATCATTCATCATTACTTATCCAATCACTAGCCGAAAATAATCAGGTAAAAAACAAATCTATTGTATAGAATAACGTGTAACATATTTTTCAAATCGCTAACGAAACAGATGTGCTTGTATGTAACAGACAAAATAGGTTCTATTTCAATATTGATAGTATTAAAAAAAGGCTTTCCAGTATACATCTTGTTGTCTTAACGCATTAGATATGAATATATCGATTTCTCTTGAATAAATACCCTTCAAATAGTTTTTTGATGAATAGAAAAAAGAAAATGATTTTATAAATATAATGTTTATTTGATTATTCAGATTTCTCTTTCATCAATACAAACAATTGTTGAAAATTTAATAACTCATTTTCGTTTAATAATCGAACAATCTGATCATTTATATATAAAAGAAAAACAATTACTTATTAATGAATTAAATCAAATAAAAATTTTTATTGGTCATTATGAATCTTCAACAGTCTATTCTCTTCCTGATATTCAATCAACTTCATATCTTAAATATGCTCAATTATTTTCATCGATATCATATGATCAATATGATTATTCATTTTCAATTGAACCTATTTATAATACAATAAATCATACACTTTTACTTCCATATGGTTTTATTTATTTATCAAATCATTCAATTGAATATCCATTAACGAGATTTTTCTTAAAAATTCTTTTTCAAACTATTCGATCAAATCCATTTTCAATTGAATGTTTAATAAAATCATTTGATGATTTTAATTCAACAATAACGGATATTAGTGATGAACATATAACATATTTATTATTTCGTTCAAAATTTTTATTTGAAAATAATATTATTTTTGATGAATATTTATGGCCATTCATGAGTGCAAATTCATTAATAAAACGTTTTCTTATTGATTATACAGCAAATAATTATTGTCAAAGTTTAAATGATTATCATTTATTTCTTAATAATACATATTTAAATGATGATGTTTATTTAGTATTTCATTGTCAACAAGCTAGTTCTATTAGACAATCGAAATGTAGTGTTATATGAGTGTTTTTCTTTTATTTTATGTATTACAAAAAAAAGTATATATATATTACAATAAAAATTTATTTGTCTTCAATAGTGTTTATATAAGAGATATATATGGCTAAAGCCAGTTGTATTGTATCTTGCGCCGCTCGGAGCAACTTGCATAGATATATTAATGTATAATACCATATTTAGCATATAAATTAATTTTATAAAATGATCACAATAATAAATTGAGATTAGTTTCAAGTAACTGAATCTTTTTTTAAAGTCGGATTTAAACATGAATGATCATAGTTTGTTGTTGATGATGATGATGAATCATATGAATAGAGAATTTCATCAAACGGTCGAGCAGAAATTTGTGTATTGTGTATTAATGAGATAAGTTTACGTGAATGAAAAGCCATGGTTATGTTACGTTGAAATAATAATTGTGTAAACGACTGTAACATTATTATGTAAAATGAGATATGTTTTTGTTATCGTCTTATATAGTGTCGTTCGCTTGTCTATTTATATTGTTTTGGAGGCTTGCACACAGTGCACTATCAATACGTAACTGGAGAACGACAGGAAAGAGACAAAAAAACTGATCGTACTTAATTACATGCACTCTTATATACTTTGCGCGCAATCATGCGACTGCCTGTTATATCTCAAAAATCTACACGTTGACACTTTTCATGTTTTATCTTTTTTTTTTCAATTCTTCGTTTCCCTTGATCGAGGAAAATAGCGCACATGGTGCGCAAACTAGTACATTGTCGTTTTATTACATTATTATACTATATAATATAATAAAATGCAATCATAATTCTATACTAAACAACCTTGTTGACGTAGTCTATTCGTATGAGATATTTTTCTTTATTAGAATGATAAGTATGTATCAAAACAAAACAAGAGACAACAAAGACAAAAAAAGACACAATGAAACAACACTCGAGGGTATGAAACAGTTCATTTATTTTTTATTTAAATAAGATCAGCAACATTCATTGGCATTTCATCAATTTGTGTTGCGTAATATTGTTCAATATCTCGTAGAATACGAATATCATCATTCTTAACAAAATCTATGAAGAAAAAAAAATAAATAAATAAAAATTTATATGAAATCTTATTCAACTTACTTATAGCAACACCTTTACGACCAAATCGACCTGAACGACCAATACGATGAATATACAATTCACGAGAATTTGGAAGGTCATAATTAATAACCAAACTAACTTGTTGAACATCAATACCTATTAGAAGAAAAAAACAAAACAAATATATATATTATTTGTTTTTGAAAAAAAAAGAATGTATGCGATTTACCTCGAGCCCAAACATCAGTTGTAATAAGTACTCGTGTATCACCAGCACGAAATTCTTTCATGATAGCATCACGTTCTTCTTGTTTCATATCACCATGCATTGATGATACGGTAAAGTTTGCTTCACGCATTTTTTCAGTTAACCAATTAACTTTTCGTTTTGTATTACAGAAAATAACGGCTTGTGTTATTGTTAATGTATCATATAAATCGCATAATGTATCAAATTTCCATTCTTCACGTTCAACAGCAACAAAAAATTGTTTGATACCTTCAAGTGTCAACTCATCACGTTTAACTAAGATACGTATTGGATCTGTCATGAATTTTGTTGTGACTTCAAGAATTTCATGTGGTAATGTTGCTGAAACAAGAACAACTTGGGTTTGTGGTGGTAAATGACGATAGACTTCATAAATTTGTTCTTTAAAGCCAAGATTAAGCATTTCATCAGCTTCATCTAATATTAACATTTTTATATGACGTGTTCCTAAAATAAATTGAAAATGTATAAAGATTATTTATTGTATGGGTGGAAAAGTCATCGATACTTTTTATAGACGTGAAAAAATCTGAATCTATTCTTATTAATAAATGAATCGTTCAGAAATACTTTACAGAGTATGTCTTCATATCATTATTCAAAGATATACACAATCAATTGCGATTATTTTCGTCTCTATTTATTGCTCATTCTTTATAAAGAGTCTTATATTACATTTCAATATAATTATTTCATACTAAAACGGAAATTTTCAAATGACCGATCAATATCTTAATATATTTCTTTATAGAACTTAAAAGAGTATTTCGTTATTTTCTAAGTCAGAGGAAAAATTCTCAATTATATTTTACAAATATTGAGATCAATTAAAATCATATAAGGGTCAATCCATGTTAAAAGAAATTGTGACTTCTGTTTGATGTACTGTAATGTCTTATCCTTTCCTAAAAAGAGGAGAAAAGATTACTCAAGTTCTTATCATCCATATACGATACTTTTAAAAAGAACAGCTTTAGTTTAACTTGCGCTAAAATACTTTCTAGGCGGTAAATATGGTGAAATTGGTCCACTAATCGTTTATCATCAAAAGAAATATAAGCCTTAAATATTACAATGATGTTTTGTATTTTCCTGCTTCTTAAAAAAGTGTTTTGAAGCTATAGTATATCTAATTCAGTAACAGTTTACTTAGCATAAAAAAATCTTATGTTCAAATAATAGCTAAATATCACTATGGCTGCTAAATCTTGCACTACTGAATATTTATCTTTAACTCAAATAATTATTTCATTTTATAAAAAATAAAGAAATTGATAACATACGTAATGATCCTCGATTAATCATATCAATAACTCTTCCTGGTGTTCCACTGACAATATGTTGTCCATAATCAAGTTTACGCATATCTTCTCCTGTATTTGTTCCACCAATAGTAGCATGACATTGAACATTCATAAAATCTCCAATAGCTAAAACAACTTTTTGAATTTGTTGTGCTAATTCTCGTGTTGGTGATAAAACTAATGCTTGTGTTTCACGTATATTTGTATCTAATTTTTGTAACATTGCAATTGAAAATGTTGCTGTTTTACCAGTACCAGATTGTGCTTGTGCAATAACATCACGTCCTTTAACAATTGGACGAATACTACGTTGTTGAATAGCTGATGGTTTTTCAAAACCATATGAATAAATTCCACGAAGAAGATTTTCATTTAAATTCATTGCATCAAATGTTGGACATACTTCAACATCTTCGCTTGTTTCAAAATCAACAGCTTCAATATCATGACCTGTTTTAACAGTACGTTGACGTTTAGATGGACGTTCAGGAATTGTTGACATGTTGATATGTAACAAACACAAGTTTAGCAATAGAAATATGAATGACGAAATAATGAAAATGATAAATAAACTATGACCAGAGATTTCTATTGGTCAATAAAATAAACAAAGAGCAAATATAAATATAAAATTTTTAAAAGATTAAATAATATTAACAGATATTTTAATTTTTAATTTTTATAAATAATATAAATGAATTATGTATTTAAAACATTTAGCGACATCTATATAATCATGATTGATTATTCTTAATAACGAATCATATTGAAAACAGATGTCTCGTTTAGAAAATTAACTTTATTTCGACATAATGCTTTTGAAAATTTAACAATATGTATTGAAAAGCAATGAGATTTTATTTGATCCGATCAAATTTATTCAGTTATTAAACGAACGTTTGTATAAAATTAAAATCCAATCATAAATTCGTATGATTATAAAAAATGTTTACTAATACAAAGAAAAAATATGAGTTATCGATAAAACTCATACTATAATTTATTCAAGGTAGAATATTAAAAGAAAAGTTTTCGTATATCTAAAATAAAGGTAAAAATTTCATTAAAAATACATCACTAGGAATAATATTTTCAAAAAAAATGAACAAGTATTAATTATTTTACGTTCTAGATGTATATCAGCCGTGATGATATAATTGCATAATTGGTTTTTCTTCTCGTAAATCCAGGTAAACTTCTTCACTAAAACTTTCGATTTGTATTTTGTTCTTATAGAATGTCGTCAATTACTATCACTACTGAAAATTTACCTACAACAAATGGTTTATCTCTATCTTCAAACAATAAATTGAATGAACTTTATTCAGGCTATGAAAATCATTTATCATCTTGTTCGTCGTCTCCTAATTCAACATGTTCACCAACAATGAATTTTCCCGAAGCTCAAACCTCAATATCGAAAGAATCAAATGTAAAACTTCCATATCCAGTTTTATCTGATCGTCGTGATTCATCATCTATACTTTCTCTTTTACAAAAAGAAACACAAGCAACATCAAAAAAAATTCTTGATGTTACACAATTAATTGAAACTTATGAAAAAAATTTAACATCAAATCGTCTTTCCGAAAGTGATAGAAAATCATTTAAATATGAACGTGATCAACGTAAACAACAATTAGATGCTTTGAAAAAACATGAACGTCGTGTTAATTTACAAATTGATTATATAACAACAAAAACCGAAATTCGAGGTTTAGAAGATGAACAAAAACAAAATTCAGATAAAAATAAACAAATTGAAGTTTTATTAAGAAAATTAAAACAAAAATTAGATCAAATGAAAATTTATATGAAAAAAAGAAATGAAGAAATGAAAAAAATTCATGAGAAAAAAGAAAAATCATCGACGTGTAAGATTTAATACATTTAAAAGAAAAGGAAAAATCTAGTTTTATTATAATAGCTAATGATAACCGAAAACAATTATCATCTGATCAAAAAATACAACAGCGATCAAGTTCATCAGATTTGGTAATAGAAATAGATCAGTAGTATAGAAAGTATAATTTGTTTTTTTAGACTCGAAAACGTCCATTACCGTTTACAAATAAACAACTCAAATCAACAACACATAATCATGCTAAACCACCGGTTGTTCGTCTAGCATCACGTTCTTCAAATCAACAAACAAAATCTCAACCACCACCACTTCAAACACCAACAGTAAGATTTCTAAAGAAGACAACAGATTCTACAATGTCAACAATTAATTCTGCATCACCGACTACACCAGCATCATCTTCATCAACTTTATCTCCTCCTTTGATTGCAAGTACAAGTACTGAAGATGCGAATAATATTTCAAAACAGGTAAGAAATCATTTATTTAATTCTATAATTAATTTGAAGGAAATTTTCTTTTAGAATACAATTCCATCGATTGATGAAGATGATGAATTTGATGTTCAATTTGATATAGAAGAATTATTTGATGATGATCCATATTCGGAAAAATCTATAAAAAGATTTAAATCCGACAAACAAGACTATAAACCAACAACAGAATCTTAAAAATAGAAGTGTATATAACCGTTTGTTTTTTCTGTATATGTCTTCAAATCTCGTTTTGTTTGTGCCCGGTCGTTTCTTTTTTTTATTATTATCTTGTCATGATGATTACTTTATTTCTACGTTCATTTATCGCTGAAAAAAAAGGTAACAACAAGAAGAAATTGTTTTCTTTCGTTTTTTCTAGATTTTTTTATAAGACAAAAAAAAACAAAATATCATGGCGGATTCATCAGCACCAGGTAAGAAAGCAGCACGTACATTTGATATTCAAGCAATGATGGATCAAGCACGAATAGGTGCACAAGAACGATCAAATGTTGATTGGACAAATGAGATTGAAAAAGCAAAAGAAGATAATGAATTACGTATTGCTGAAATGAAATTAAAAGCTGAACAAGCAGCTAAACAAATGTCAACTAAGAATAGTAGTTCAAATAATGAAGACGATGATGATGATGATGATTTTGGTCCATCAATTTCTCTTGCTACAACATCAACTGACAATAAGGAAGATACTGATAGCGACGAAGAAGATACACGTCCACCAGAAGTAAAGTATAGAATATATGAGAGTATTTTAATTTTTCGTTTTGAATTCTAGTCAAATGATCAAGATGATGATCGATTAGATGATGATGAACGACCATTTTTTCCTTTAACACATGAAATTGATCTTAAACATGGAACAAAAACAGTATCATGTTTAACAATTGATTCCAATGGTGAACGTTTAATATCAGGTGGTTTTGATTATGAACTTAAAATGTGGGATTTTCCAATCATGAATAAAAAATTACAATATAGTCGAGCAATATCTCCATGTGAATCTCATCAATTACGTTCAATTGAATTCAGTCCTGGAAATGATATGTTACTAATTGCCAGTGGTAGTTGTCAAGGAAAAGTTATTACTCGAGATGGTAAAATTAAAAATAAAAGAGAAACTAGAAGATTTATTTATATATTTTATTTTTAGGAAAAAATATGTATGAATGTGTTCGAGGTGATATGTATTTAATTGACATGCAAAAAACTAAAGGTCATGTTAGTACATTAAATCGTGCATGTTGGAATCCAAAAGATTTAAATGTAAGTTAACTAAATTTATTTTCTAACTTCATAAATTATTTTTCTAGGAATTTATGACTTGTTCTGATGATGGTACTGTTCGTCTTTGGTCATTAATTCGTCGTACAGAACATGTTTCATGTATAAAAACAAAATCTGAAACAGGTAAAAAAACCGCGACAACAACATGTACATATAATACATATCATACACATGTTGCACAAAATGAATATTTAATAACTGCTGGATGTGATGATGGTAGTATACAAATATGGGATCGTCGTCGACCATTTGTAAATGTTACATTTATGTCACGACATGCACATGAACCAGAAAATTCTATCACTTCATTACGTTGGTCTTATGATGGACAACATTTAGCATCACGTTCAACTGATCATACACTTAAATTATGGGATATAAGAAAATTTAAAGAACCACTTTCACAATATACAGATTTACATAATCGATTTTCAATGACTGATGTAACATTTTCACCTGATGATCGATTTTTAATAACTGGTACATCAACACGAAAGAAAACAGATGATAATATAGATAATGCAGCAAATTATGGAGCTATTTATTTTTTTAATCGAAATAATCTTGCACAACCAGAAGGACAAATTCAAGTTAGTGACAATGCAAGTGTTATTAAAACAGTATGGCATTCAAAATTAAATCAAATTATGTGTACAACAAGTAATGGATTAGTTAAAATATTTTATGATACAGTACGTTCAAAACAAGGAGCATTAATATTTGCAAATCGTGAAGAACGACAAAAGAAAGCAAATGATTTCTTTATTAATATGAATATTATCAATCCACATGCATTACCATTATATCGACAAGATCGAATTAGAAATTTATCAGTTATACGAATGAAAAATCGAGAAGATCCAGTATGTAAATTTTTTTTTATTTTGAAATTATATAGATGAGATGTCTGTCTTTGTTCGATGATGATACATTTATATATTCGAATGTCTATAACAATGCACTTTCATAGTCAACAGAAACTAAATGTTCCTTCTAAGCTAATGGATGTAAATTGAACAACACTAAATGGATATTTTGAGTGCCATAGAGTATTATGCTTTTCTTCGTCTTGTACTATATGACCGAGAATATTGTTTATTATAATCGCTGGGTTCAAAGTTGCTGAAATCGAACATCACTTTTCACGGAGATTTTCTTCAGTAGATGAACGTGATAATTGACCTTAAAATACATATGTATGCTGTACGATTCAAAACCTTTGAAATTAGCTTTGTTACTAGTCTATAAACATCCCACATATCCACACTGCCGATACATATTTGATTTCGATCTACTTGATCCTTTTCTTGAATATCTTTTTTACATAATCTCACGATTAAATTTTCTCTTAATAATAGAAGCTTTCATGTGATGTTTAATCTCTTTTTAATTAATAATATTCTATTAAAATATTATATAAACAACTACATAATTTATAATATATATTATATGTTTCTCTAAATTTACATCAGCCATCGAGTTAGATAATCTTTTCCTACAATGTATTTTTATGACGTCAATATTTTCAGAAGTATTCTTATACTTTTAATAAACATAGTTGTAATATAATCAATGCAACTCGGGTATAACTAGAACAAATATTATACATTTTCTTTTATTTAGGTCAAATCCAAACGTCCTGATCTGCCTATCAGTGGTGCTGGTTCAGGTGGTCGTATTGGTGTACATGGTGGTACATTATCATCATATATTGTTAAGAATATTGCTTTACAAAAACCACCAGCACAAAAAGAAGATTCTCGAGCTGTTTTACTTAGTTATCAAGAAAAATGTGAAGCAGAACCATTTTGGGTTACACCAGCTTATAATCAAAATCAACCCAAACCAATTTTTCAAGCTTCTACTCAAGATACACAACGAAAGAAAGAAGATGATGATGATGAAATTGCACCACTTTGGAAAAAACAAAAAACATAAACTTTTTTTCTGTCTGCCTCTCTCTGTTTATTTCATATTTCGTTTTGTATAATGTATAAATAAATATATATATAATCTACTTTGATATCAACTAAAAGTAGATTATTTTGTTGAAATCTAATTCAATTGATTCTCAGTTATTTATTAAGTGTAATAACAATGAATGAACATATTGTGAATACACTCATAGCTCAACAACATGTTGTAATATTGTCCGTCTAATTAATGTCGTAAATAAAAACAGAATAGTGTCAAGTAACATCTGAATGATTTCTTTTTCTTTTGTTATTTATATGTAAATACTTCATATATATATTTTGCGTCGTTCATCATATCTCATTAGTTGTCTATCAAACGAATGTTTTCCGTTTTGACTAAATGATTATTTTATCAATAGATATAATGAGACAAAAAGAAAAAATACTCTTAAAATTCTTTCTATCGTAAGAAAAAAAGCTTCTAGTTCGAATAAATCTATCTCATAACTAAATTCTATTCTTCGATCTATCATAATAAAATCAACGAACGCAAAAAAAAAAAGAAAAATGACATATTCAATATAAACATCTTAGACACAAACAAGTTAGATTCTCCTCCATATTCATTAATTGGATCTTACAGAATTTCTTTTTTCTCTTTTTTCAAGTGTATTCTATATATATATTATGTACTTTATAAAAGGTATATAATATTTATCTCGTTTAAATAAAATAACATACATTTTTCCATATTATTTTAATGACATCGACAACGTTATCACATTTAAAACCAATTGTTGAAAATTGTAATCATATTAAAGATCAAACAATAGAAACTCCAATATCTAATAGTTGTCCAACAGATAATTATCGTTATTCATCTCCATGGCCAGCATCCGATTATGCAACAAAAACGACGCGAGCTTTATCATGTAATGAACCAAGACCAAGAACTTCATCATCAACATCAACAAATACGAATCGATTAAAACATATATGTGCATGTGTTAAACGACGTTTTACTATATCAAAAGATAATGTTGATATAAATCGAGGTTTATCATCACGTTTTACTAAATATAAATCATTTTCATCAACACTTGATGAACCCTATAATGATTTTGAATGGCCAGATTTCGAACATATTTATGATACAATTCCACATTGTCTTGCTAAAGCATTACCAGGTCTTGATGATCTTTCAATAGATGAACATTATGATATAACACAAGAAACATGCAATACTTTTACAGATGAAACAAATGAACTCATTCCTTTATTTGAAAATTGTAAACGAGGAATATATTATCGACGAAATGCTATATGTCCCAAACTTGATAAAAGTATTTATAGAGGACAATTAGATGTATTTGTTCAACAATTAATGATCGAAAAATTAATGAGAACATGGACTTAATAAACAAAAAATTTCTTTTTGTTTTTGTACTATATTTATGTAAACAGTATCTATATTTGTATATTAAATAAAATATAACAAAAAATAATGAATAAATCTCATTTTCTGACGAAATACTTTCAGGTGCATATCTATTGATATGGGATAATTAAAACTTAATAATATTTTTCTTTCGACGACATACTTTTATTTTCTATTTATAGTTAACTACAAATAAATCTAAGAATTACTTTAGCACGTACATAAATCATTGAAACATATACAAAATAAGTTTTTTTTACAAATATATTACGAAACTAAATTTAAATTAAGATGTTTTCCTCGCTAAGTACTTCTCGACTGTTTATTATGACGGAACTATTTCATCATATATAAATTACATTGCAGCATAGTCTGTCTATCTATTTATATAAAACGTAGATATTTATCAATAAATTAGATGATTTTATTCATTATAAGAAGTAAATATATTTACATAACAATTGTTCGAAAGTATTAAACAATATACATTTGTTTGCTTTTTATATCTTTATATAAAAGATAATTGATTAAACATTGTGAAATTGATAAATTTACAATTTCTTTTCGTTTAATACCAGCATGACTATTAATTGTAATTCGACAGAAACTTTTCAATGATGGTAATTTATACGTTGATAATATTGACCATAAATGAACTTCACCATTACGTGTACCTATACCCATAGTTTTTCCATCCGGTGCTGATGTAACACATAGGACGTTATTTTGTGATTGTTTAAAGCTTGGTTCTGTTAAACGTGCAGATTCAATTGGAAACAGACGAACATGACTTGAATAAAAAAGAATATTTTTGTATTTTTAATTTTTTTTTCTTCTTACTTATCATCACAAGTACTAATTATAATTTGATTATATTTAGTAAAAACAACCGATCGTACAAATGCTCCATTATCACCACCAGCATATATTTGTAATGGAATTGGAATTTTATGAATAAATTCTTTTAAAAGTTCTCCAGTTATTGTTGACCAAAGTAAAATACGTGTATCGAAAGAAGCAGTTGCTAATAAAGCACTATATAACAAAGAAAAATATTTTCTTAAGAAATATTTTTTTCCAAATAAAATCTACCTATCCGATGAAAAATCACAATCAGCAACACTATGTAAATGTCCTTCAAATTTCCATATCTCTTCCCATGTTGCTGTATCATACAATACAACTAATTCATACGGACCTACTGCACATAATAATGTTTCATCTGGTGACCATTTAACTGTATTAATAACATGTGTCCATTCATCTAATGTTTTATACATATTACCTAAGATAAAGAACATAATTATAATACTAGAAAAATTCAAATGTTTTACCATCATCAAGTAAATCCCATAATTTAATTTTTGTATCATGTGAACATGATGCTAACTGCATTGTACATGGTGTAAATGCTAAACCACATACAGCTGATTTATGATCTGTTAGAACAAGTATTAATTCTGCGTTATCAACATTCCAAATATTAATTTTTCCATCAGCAAGACCAGCTGCTAAAAATAAATTTTTTGTAAAATCAAAACGATTATTAACTGATAAAGTTGAACGATGTCGACCTAATAATTGACGTCGTGTTAATGGCAATGATATATTTTGATCGAATGAATCTGTTTTTATTATTCGTTGACCAAATGCTAATGACCAAACAGATGATGAACATACGAATTTTTCATGTACATATAATTCATCTGTTTTACTAGTTGCATGCCAGTTTGGACAATAAATAACAATAATACAATCAATACCATAAATATCTTGTTTAGGTATTGCTAAATAATGAGAACATGGTGAAAAACTTGTTTTCCATACATTATTTGGAAGAAAAGTCGATGATGTTAAATAATTTTGTAAGGAATCATTAAGAGGTAAGACATTAGAAGTTGCTAAAAACAATTTTAGAAATGAAAAACATAGTTCTATATAAATCTATACCTAATGATTGATTTGTCATCAATATGTTTAGATTATTAATAAAACATCTAAAAATAAATTATTACAACGTAAAAACTTTTAAGACGTAGTTTAACATATATTTTATGTCATATAACACGAGTGCTTTCATTCTCAAGAGAAAATGTGTAATACCATATTCTCTTCTTCCTTACGACTCTTAATATATTACGTACTATGTCTAAACTATAAATATCTTATCGTAATATACTTTCTTTCAAATTTTATTCTTAGCGTTGATCTATTTTTAATCTGGAATTAAAACGTAATTTAATATTCTATATATATCTTCTCTTAGTCATCTTATACTGATATATTCTTGATTATTGATTTAAAATACCAATAGAAAAAAAGGATTCTCTTTCTTATCAAAATTTCGACAAAAACATAATCATAAAAAACTTGTGACTTATGTCAAAAACTATTTTTATAAGAAAACAGTGATGATTATACACTTCATTAATGTTCTCCAATCATAATCATAATCGTATGTACATACAAATAAAAAAATAACAAAATGAATAGAATGTAGATTTACTTGATTGAGTGTGTAAAATAAACATCAAGCTTATTATTCGTCGATAAAATATATCATAAGTAATACTACAAGAAATTTCACGATGTAACTTTCATAATGAAGAAATAGATATGAATGATTTTATTATTTGAAAGATAACAAATCATTCAACCCATTGTACACATTAATATCGAGTTAAAACAGACAGGTTTCAAGTGTGTGAGTATATATCAATGTTTATTTATTTTTCTCATCTGACTAAAAGATATTACACTCAACTGATAAGAAGAAAAGTATGATTTGAACTCTATTAGAAAATGTCGAAAGATTAGAAATTAAACATATAAAGTTTATACTATGAAAAATAAGACTATGAATATCTGATAAAGATCTTTATAGATTACAAAAGAAAGAGAATATTGTCGAAAATATTTATCTTACACACATCTCAAGGTTATCCTTGAATTTATGTTTATGTAATGTTACACTCAATGTAAGTGAACATTCTATACAATAAAACTACTAATTTATAATGTTTCACGTTGATTCTAATCTATATGCAATTAAAAATAAATCAACATTATCGGTAAATATAATTAGTATTAAACAAGGTCGAAAAAATCTTTTCCTAGAAAAATAACATATATTTATATATAGTAATGAAGTACTAGAATACATAATATTTAATGATGTTTACTATGTAATAGTTGTTTGTAAATGGGTACATCGTATGAATAATGTTCCAAGTGATCTAACAAAAGAATTATCTGTGAACATCCAAATTAGTAAATGGTATATTATTATACGTCGTAACTATGAACCAATCAAATTCTTATGGATAAGCTTACGATTTGATGACATTAGTATATTGATCATAGTCAATAATCTATTTGAAATATATATTTCTTTATTAATTGTTTAATACAAATAATAATATTTGAAGTTCTTTGATTGAAAGTTTTAATTTCGTTTTCGCTATTCAATTATTTATCTTTACATGAATTTCAATTGAAGAGTATATTATTAAAATACAGAATAAAATCATATTTTCTAACATAAAGTATTACTTTGACTTTATATTAGAATAATTATCCAGGATATTAACTTTAGATATGCGGACTATCAAAAATTAAGTATTTCTGTGATAGAACTCATGCATTATCTTAAGATTTTAAATTCGATACATTGTTTTCGCAAGACAATATGCCAAATTTCACATGATCTCTATGCACTTATCATCAAGGTTGTTTGACAAATATGTTAGTTATTGCTACGAATGAACACGAAAAAAGATCTCGTACTTTCGAAACAACTCTATTCGATTCAAACAGAACGAAAAAAGAATGCCAGTGTAAATATTCACAATACTACTTAAACCTGTGATTACAATAGTTTCACTTCTTATACTGATCTATATCACTAGTTTACAAGAGAAAATATAAGATTATATAATTCTTCGTATGAAGATATCAATTTTTTCGCGATCATCAAAATTAGTTTTTTGAATTTCTCGTTAGTTTTTAGAGCTTCTTAACGAACAGGTTTACTTAATATTTATAATCTTCGAATGATAGAAAAATTCATAGCCTTTGAGAATCTATAATTAGGTTTTAAAATAATATACTCACTATACCTTATTACTACATTTACAGCGTGTCTTCTTTCTTCTCCTACGATTATTAGTAGTTTTGATATCATAATTGTAAGCTTACTAATTATGAAAGACATTTGAGTATACTAGAAGATCTTCTTTCAATAGAATCAGCATTCTGTTTAGTTAAGATTTATCATAAGTTAATTTCATTCGAATATATTTTTTCTTCAATTAGAAAAAAAAATCAACTACAATCGAAAACACTGAGACTAAATATATATGAAAAGCTGAAAACAAACATACAAAAAACCTACAAATATATACACATTATATATACATATAAATTCAAAAGCAAAACAAATGTCTTTAACGCATTTGTTTTTTCTTGAAATCTTCTTTAAATGCTTGTTCTTTAAGATCAAGTTCTTCAAAATCAGATTTTAACCAATCAAGCATATCTGAAAAGATAACAACACCATTAGCTGATGGATCAGAAACACCTGGTAATGGTCGTTGATAACTAAGCATTTCAGCTTCATCATCTTCATTTATTGTACCATCTTCATTTATAACCATATATTCTTCATATTCAAGACAATTTGATGCATATTGTTGTTGATGAATCTTATAATGATTTTTCATTCGATAAGCAGATGGAATATATTGTTTACAAATTGCACAAACACGTCGTTTTAATTCTTTTCGTACACTTGAACAACAATAATCAAATGGTAATATATCATTTTGTGTAAATTGCATAACAACACCATGAAATTGTATACGTTGAATTAAAGAACCATAGAAAACACCTTTTTGATAATCACGATCAGCCATGGCAATGCCACGTGGTGTACGTTCAAATGCAACTGGTGCTGGAAGAAAACGATGTGGAAATACTTGAATATAATTTGAACGCCATGGACCACAACATGATATTGAATTACAACGAATTATTTGAATTGTATATTGTGTTTGAAGAACATGTGTTGCACACCAATACTCATCAATATCATATTTTGGTGTATCTTTTGATACGTCACCATCAGTTGTAGTCTGTGAAGCACGAACTCTTTCTTGATAATATTCATCACTTTGTCGAATACGATGTTCCACTGGTTCTTCATCTTCTTCTTCTTCACATACACTAAAATTTATTATTTATTTTAATTAAAAAAACAACATAAATTTCTTAAATTATTTTACCGATTTAATAAATTCGTCATAGTAAGTTTAGCATCAATTAAACGTATTTCTTCCGGAGTTGATGCTGGTGGATCAATATATTCAGCTACAACAGAATATTCATCAATAACTGATCCACACCAAACTTCAGCTAGAACTTCTCCAGCTTTTTTAAAATTTGTTCGTTCTAAATCAGCATTAACTGTTACACCTGAATCATTTAAATGTGTACCAAAATGATCATGTGGTAAAATAAGACCAGCTAAATCATGTGAAAGTGGTGCCATACGTCGTTCAACAACATTATAAGCTGATTGACCTGGTGCATGTGTAAGAACAAATAAAGCATCAAGATTATATTTTTTAAATTTTCTTATAGCTGCAACAAGTGTTTTTGGAAAACGTGGATTTTCATCAGGACCACCATCAACTGTAATAATAACAACTGGTTTAACTTGTCCTGTATAATCACGTGCAGCTTTTTCAAATTCTTTCAAACCAACAAGAGTATCAAAATCATGTGAATGACTATTTGCATCACTTCGATCATGTTTAGCTGAACGAATTGCTATATATGTTGGACCAGAATAACCGACATCATTATTTTCATTCATTAAACATGCAGCATAAACACTAAAATAAAATAATTAATTTAAGTTTTTTTTCTCTATTCCTCTCCTTACCTTGGTGTAAGTTGATGACGCGGTGCAACAGTCCAGTCGTGATCGGGTAAACGAACACGATAATCCAAATGCATAAGCATAGGTGCTTGAATTTTAGCAGCTGGTAAGCCAATAGGTACTTTACATTTATCATCTTGTGATAAGAAAAATACAACATCATTACCAAAAATACCCGCTAAATCTTTAATATAACGAATAGTTGCAGTTGCAAAATGACCATCTATAAAAAAATATATATTTGTTATTAATTCTTCTTTAATAAATAATAAATACCTTCATGTTTGCCATGATCATCATTTAAAGCTTTTCGAAGACGGACAGGAACTGTTCGAACATGTTTTTTACCATCAACTGAATTTGTACGATGTGGTAATAATCTATAATAAAGTGTTGATCGTTTGATATCGTAACCACGTTCTTTAATTTTTTCTCTTAAATCATCTAATGTTAAACAAGGGCGAATTGTTGCAGAACGACGATTATCATCAGCAGCACCACCAACTTTAGCAATTTCTTCAATGATTTGTAATAAATCAGGACATTCTTCTTCAATTGGTGGTCGACCAATAACAGGTCGATAGATTTTATTTAATTCAGCAGCTAATTCCGGATTTTTTTCACATAATGCTTCAATTTTACGCTAAAAAAAAGAAAAGAGCCATTCATGTTATAAAAAAAAATAAAATAAAATTTTTTACTTTTTTTATTTCTCGATAACGCTTTTTTGCTGCTTGTTCAGCTTTAAGTCTTTTTAAATCATTTGCTTTTTTCTTCTGTTCAACAAGAAGTTTTTTTAATTGTTTTTCTTGTTCATTTGTTGCCATACCCATATTTTTAACTTGAACTAATTGTATAATACGTTCATTTATTTCATGAAGTTCATTAGCAACTTTTTCTTGTGCTGGTGCTTTAGATTTTTTAGCAAGAATTTCTGCAGCTGTACGCATTTTTTCCTTTGGTTTTGTTGGTGGTTCTTCTGGTTCAAATTCTGGATCAGATGATTCATCACGTTTTCGACGTTTCTTTGAAACACGACCACCATTTTCAAATCCAATATTTGATTCACATTTTTTCTTACGTCCACGTTTCTTCTTTTGTGGTTCATAATCATCATCATTACCATCATCATTATCTTCATTTTCATTCTCTTCATCATTGTCTTTCTTTTTTTCAACTTCTACATCAAGACCTAAACCAGCTGCACTACTTGATTTAAATCTTTCAGTATATTCATCAATTTTTGCTTGAACATTTTTTTCATCACCTTTTATTTGATTCCATTCAGTTTGTGCTTGTGCATGTGATATCTTAAATGGGGATAAATAGAATATTTAATAATATATTACAAATATTAAACTATACCTTTCGAGGTACATCCGCATGTGCTTTCATATACACATCAACAAAAGTACGATACAAACAGTAACGAGCTGTTGGTTTACGTGCAGGCATAATAGTATGTTGTCTGAACTTTGTAAAATTTACAAATGAACGAGAAGTAACTGAATAGTTAGTAGAGAGAGAAGAAAAAGGACGTCGTTTATTTCTTCTGACCGCTTCATGACCTCCTCCCCTAGACACAATATGCACGTCCCGTCTTCGGTCATCATTTCTAACCAACCAAAATTTGACCCCTAAATATATATATACGCATATCCTTTCTGTTTAATGTAGACGAGGGCAAATGAGAAATCGTGCTCGATTGACCGACGTCCGGGTCAAATGTATAAAAAAAAAAAAGATTATTTTTCTCTCTTTATCATCTCTCTTTACTCGTCCTTTGTGAATGGGTTTATTTTTGTTTCTTAAATTTATTCTTGATTTTTTTTTTGTGTCTTTATAAAATAATAACATAAAGCGTAAACACACAAAAGAAGAAGAAGAAAAAAAAAATAAAATAAATAGTTTTAAGAAGTGCCTGTAGCTTTATAATCAAATTTCGATTCAAGTTTTTTGCTTTCAGCAACTTTGCGTACTGCTTTGGAAAAATCGTCTTCTTGAACATAATCACGTTCAGCACGAATTGCAAACATACCAGCTTCAGTACATACATTTCGCATATCAGCACCATTAAAACCATCACTTAATTTAACAATAGCTTCATAATCTAAAGAAAAAATCCTAGTATATACTTGATTAAATGAATATCTTACCAATATCGCCTCGTTTAGCAATTGGTGCAGCATGAATTTTTATAATATCAAGACGAGCTTGTTCATTAGGTAAAGGAATTTCTAAATGAAAATAAAATTTTTATGTTTATATAAGACAGAATATTCATACCAATTTTTCTATCAAGTCGACCAGGTCGCATAAGTGCTGGATCGAGTGTATCAGGACGATTTGTTGCCATAATTATTTTAACTTTTCCTAATGTATCAAAACCATCCATTTGATTAAGAAGCTAAAGATAAAATGAAGTAAAGAAAAAAAGAATTTTACAGATACTAACTTCCATTAATGTTCTTTGAATTTCTCGATCAGCAGATGTACCTTCTGAAAATCGACGTCCACCAATTGCATCAATTTCATCCATAAAAATAATACATGGTTGATGATCTTTAGCATAAGCAAACATTTCTCGAATCATTCGTGCACTTTCTCCAATATATTTATCGACAATCGCACTTGATACAACTTTTAAAAAGTTACAATCAAGTTGACTGGCTACAGCTCGAGCTAATAAAGTTTTTCCTGTTCCTAAAATTATATATATATTGATTAATAAACTAAAATAAATAAATATTTAATTTACCTGGTGGTCCAAAAAGAAGACAACCTTTTGGTGGTGTAATACCAACACGTTGAAATAATTCAGGATTTGTTAATGGTAATTCAACAACCTAAATTATTATTTTCAAAATTTTGTTAAATATTATCATTTTAAATATTTACTTCTCGTAATTCACGAATTTGTTCACTTAAACCACCAACTTCACCAAATGAAACATTTCCTGGATCTTCATGAGACATATTATAAACTAATGGATCAACTTCTCGAGGTAAATAACTAAACAGAAAAAAAAAACATCAATAAAATTTAATTAATAAATTAGATTTAATTATTCTTACCGCATGACTGTTAATGTTGTCATATCAAGAGCTACACGAGTACCTGGACGTAATTTAGCTTTATCTAATTGACGACGACAACCAACAACATATCGAGGACCATTTGTTGCTTTGACAATAACTAAATAAGATTTATTTATATTGATTATTTCAAGTATAATATAAATTTACATTTATCTTCAGTTAATTGTTTCAATACTTCTCCAACAATCTACAATAATAATAATAATAATATTCGTAGATGTTATATGAATGATTTATATTTACTTGTCCAACACTTTGTAATGCTTTTAAATCATTTTCACTTTTATCATATTCTTTTGTTAATGAACGAAGATCTTCACGCACTAAAAAGGAACAGAAAATATAGTCAAACGATGCTAAATAGTTTTTCAATGTTATATACTTTGTTTTAATCGAGCTTCAATTTCTTTATGTTCCATAATTTTTTTACGGAAGTCTTCCAACGCTTTTTCACGTGGATTAACCGCCGAAACGGCTGGATTTGTTGTTGTTGTTACCATGTTTATACGAAAGATACTCAAATAATGAATGAATAAATGTAAAACGTAAATAATCTATGAACGAACGAATGACTCAAATATTTTCCTGTCTATTAACCAATTGATAGATTCGACATCTACGGACAACCAGAGGGCGCATTATGCTGACTATAAAAAGTTTTAGGGTAAATCGATCGTGCTTTTAATTATGATATAAAAGAATTTCCATAGTATTCACACATTATGAATGATACAGGCAATCTGATTTACTACTTCAAAGCTATATTAAAGAAAATTTTTAATGGAACTAAACAATCAGATTTTGATATTAAGAAATAACAACTCTATATCTTTCTTTTTTGTTTTTAGTAATTGAGTAAATAGATGAAAGAGATTTTTATAACTAATGAATGGAATTGAATTTTATATTTTCAGTCTTTCAATAAACTCATTAATTATCAGAATATTGATATGTTTATGTTTAAAGATTACATTCATTCTAAATATTCTTAATAATATTATTTAGATTTTCTACGTGTATCAACAAAGATTAGCTGAATCAGTAGTTATTTATGTATTTCAGTATCATTATTTGTTGAAGGTATTTATATTTGTATGACAAATAGTAAAAATATGAATATAAAAATTAATTTGAAAATTATTCAGTGAAAAATATAAAATACTAACATACTTGAAAAGCATGTAGTAATTTATGTATAAACAATGTTTCTATTTTTGTTGTAAATAAAATCTTCTATGTATTCAACATTAAATAACATATGCTTGACATATTCTAAAAGATAATTTTCATAGTTAGATATTGAAAAGATGATGAGATTATTATTTTAAAAAAATAGGAAGTAGCAAAAAATTAATTCGCATTCACACGAATACACACCTTCTGAATTTTGCAATAAAAAATACGAAAAAATTGATGTAAATCACATAATTATTCGTTAAAATAATGATTCAAACTTTATTATTTCTTTCTTAGGTGTAAATCAAAGTGACTATAATAGATTTCTTTTTATTTAGAAGATAAAATAAAAATAAAAATTTTTTTCATTAATAAATATAATGAATTGATATCAAAAAATAGTTAAAATAAATAAACTTTTAAAAAGAAATTGAAAAATTAAAACTTTAAAATGAGTAAAAAAGTTAAAAATGAAAACAAATGAAATTTTTATTTTAATTGTTAGTATAGTAAGTTTTATTAGTTCGAATATGAATAAACTGAAAACAATGTTTTCAACCATCGCAGATGTTCAAAAAAATAGATAAACTATTACTGTTAGAATTTGTAACAGCCAGATCTAATTTATTATCTTTATTAAAATAACCGATTACTACAGAAGAAGGTTTGTTATCTGTTGGATACGTGATCTGAGCTTGAAAACTCCCATTTCCATAACCAAGTAATACACCAAGAGTTTTACTACCACCGTTAACAACTACTATATCTATATTTCCATCAGCGTTAAAATCACCTGTGGACACGCTTTTTGGGTTTCTTCCAACTATAAGATTTGTTGCATTACCAAAACTTGCATTTCCATTGTTGAATAATAGACTGATAGTATTAATACCAGAGTTGGCAACTACTAAATCAATATTGTTATCATTATTAAAGTCAGCTGCAGCTATAGAACTTGGTGTTCTACCAACTTTATAATCATTTGAATAACTAAAGATTCCACTTCCATTATTAATAAATATACCAATTGTATTGTTATTTGTATTTGTGACTATTAAATCTTGTTTTTCATCGTTATTTAGATCAGATGAGATAACACATGTCGGAGGTCCTATAAGTTGATATACATTTGTAATTTGAAAAGTTCCATTTGTGTTCCCAAATAGTACACTGATAGTGGCATCCAAACTATTTGCTACTACCAAATCAAGCGTACTGTCAGAATCTAAATATGCTGATGTCACATAAGAAGGTGATACACCGACTTCATAGCTGATTGGAGTATCAAAAAATCCATCTCCATGCCCAAAAAGTACATCGATTGTGTTATCATTTTGATTGACTACTACTAAATCTTGTTTAGTATCATTATTGAAATCATTTGATATAATTTTAATTGGAAATGTTCCAACAGTATTGTTTAGTGGAGCTTGAAAAGTTATCGGATCTTCACTGCTAAGTAATACAATGATATCATTATTATTTTGAGTAATCAATGCAATATCTTGATTTTGATCACTATTGAAATCATATGCTAATAGCCAGTTACAATATTCATCAACTACATAATCAATTTCGCTGCTAAAACTACCACCGCCAACACCAAGTGACAAACTAATAGTGTAACCAATATCGTTTAATGTTGCCAAATCTGTTATATTATCATTATTGAAGTCAGCTCCAATAATGTGTAGGGGATAATAGTTAAGCGACTGCATGATGCTAGACTGGAAAGTTCCGTCGCCATTACCAAGTAGTACATATATACTATTATTATAATAACTATAATTATAACTAAAATGATAAGGATTACGACCACTAGACACACCAATATAAGGATTCCTATTAGTAACAGACACAGCCGCACGCTTACCCTTACCTATACCTCCACCTATACCCACACCTATAACCCCATCTGTACCCCCACCCACAATTGGATTTTTACTACCAGTCGAATCATAAATTACAGTTGTAGTCATAATCACACCCTGACCACTTGCTACTGCTAAATCTGTTATATTATCATTGTTGAAATCACCTGCTATCAAAGAAGTAAAGCGATAGCCAATTCGTCCAATGGTGGTTGTAGTAAAGCTTCCATCTCCATTGTTTAGAAGTATGGTGAGAGTGCCATCATTACTGTTAGCCGTTACTAAATCCATTTTTTTGTCATTATTAAGATCTGAAGATATCAACGAAGTTGGATAGCGACCAGTGGAATATGGAATTGCAACGTTAAAAGACCCATTTCCATAGCCAAACAATACATCAATATGGGAATCGTAACTATACGATACTGCTAAATCCATTATGCCATCATTATTGAAATCGTTAGATACTAAGATAGCTGGAGACGGAGAAATTGGAACAATGGTATTCGTTGAAAATAAACCATTTCCATTGTTAAATAGTATAGTAATGGTACCGTCATCTTGATTCGATACTGCTATATCCACTTGATTATCATTATTAAAATTGCCAGATGTTGCACAATTTGGACTTGTACCAACATTATAAAAGACTCCAGTCAGAAAAAGCCCATTTCCCAAACCTAATAGAACACTGATTGTATTGTCATTTGTGTTAGTCACTATCAAATCTATTTCCGTATCATTATTCACATCAACGGAGATCATATATGACGGTGTATTACCAGTAGCAGGTCGTGTGTTTCGAAAAAATGGGTCTTTATCACCTAGTAGTAAATTCACAGAGTTTTCATTTGAGTTTGCAATTGCCAAATCAAGATATGTATCATTATTAAAGTAGCCAAGTACAGAAGAAGATGGGTATTTCCCAGTATCGAAAGTACCGGCTGATGTAAACGGATTATTGCATGCATATTCTAAAAAGAAATCAGCGATGAAACAAAAATTGGATAGTAAATACAATAGAGTTATAATCTATGATATGATCAAATCTGACGTTCTTATTATCTTAAAAAAAACGATGAACTCTTCTATAATCACATAAATCATTCATTCAAATATTTAATTATTCGTAATTCTCTCTTAGATTGTAGAAAAGAATAAGTATATTAATATTAAGATGCTACAGAAAAATTTATATATTCACTATACTTATCATATATTTGAAGAATGTTGATGAGTTAAGTTAAAGTTATGCGAGACACTTATTTTTCATTATAAAAATTGTATCAAATAATAATTTACTTCTATGAATAGTAATCCATTTATGTATAGTACAAATTACTAAGAACTATCACTCTCATTTCTATTGATAATAATTCATAGATATTTTATCTATTAAATAGGTAAAATATCTATGCAATAGAATGTTAAATTCTTTTAAATTAGAAATCTTCATTGTTCTTTAAAGAGAAAAAAAAATATTAAAATTTTCATACTTGGTGAAGTATGTTTTGTTCCTGAAATAATACCAATGATAGCACCTGCAATAGCAAGAGTAAGTAATAAACAAATTGGAATCATAAATCTTTTCTTGCGATAGAATGGACGTCTGATAAAAAGAAAAAAAATTTTATCAAATAGTAGAATCAAAAAAAAATATTTGATTAAACTTACGAAATTTTTGGATAAATATGTGCACCTAAATATTAAAAACAAAAATTATGATTAATATATATAATAAATGTATATAAAATGTTTGAAAATACCTTCAAATGGTGGTTCAAGTGTTGGTACTTCTGGTTCTACTTGTTTCAAATGAATAATATAAAGATTAGGTGCTGGATTAAGTTGTGATTGAACAATCATATGTGTACCTGACATAAGAACAATTTCATCTTCCGTTACAAAATGTGAATGTGCTTTAATTGTTCGACCATTCATAGCTTCAACAGAAAAAAGTGTTCGATCACCTTCTTTACCCAAATACATATTATTTTCAAGTACAGTCATTTCGGTAGTACATGATGAAAATGCCCACCAAGTCATACCAGAACCAGGTGGAAATTCTGCACTTAAATTTTTAGTTACTCCTCTCCAAACAGTTAATGGTGGAACACATGGTAATTTAATTTGAGCAGTTAAAAATAATTTAAGATATCGGAAATAAGGTAGAAGTGCTTGACGATCACGATTTTTAAGATTATAATTGAGTAATGAATAAAGACTTCGATAAGGACTATCCCATTCAATTGTATAAAGACGTATAGCAGCACTTTCATCAATTGTTAATCCATCAGGTGGTTGTTCAGGAGTTTCTCTTAATGCTAATTCAACATAACATGATAAATTATGAAAAATATCATTTAATGGTGCACATGCTTGTGCAAGTGGTAATATAGGTTCATCAGAATATCCTACAATAGGACTAAATTCTATTCCATCACTTTTACCAATATCTTTAATAATAAGTCCTGCAAGGTTTGTGTATTTTTGATAAGAAGTATTTATGTCAGTATTGAAATCTTCTTTTGGTATTATCGTTTGTCTTTGATCATGTGTTACTTCTCGGTTAAGATTTTCAACTGTTCCATCTAACGGATGTACTGCATTATTCCTGATATGCCTTCTTTTATTTCTTGAATGTTGACGTTCGTTCGTTACATTATCACCGAACTGAATACCTGTAGATGTTGTTTGTACGCCAATATTTTTAGTCCGTATGTACTCTCGATAATTTTCCGGTTCATCATCGAGTCTATTTGCAGTTAATTTAGTTTGTATACGAACACTTCTGCTAGATTTAGGTTGTTGATAATTTATTTGTTCATCATTGAGCGAATTTATTGTTTCCATAGTATTATGTGTGAGAATATATTTGGTCGGTGTTATTCGTTGTTGTGAATAATTGTTTGTATTTTTTTTCTTTTGAAATAAATACTAACAATCTATAACAAAATAATAAATATTTCTTATAACGAAAAAAAGAACAAATAGTTGATGATGCGTATCTAGAGATTTCAAAGATTATTATTACTGTCTTTGAAAATAGAAATATGAAGGAAAGAATTAGTAGAATTTATTAATAACTATTTTACATATATTATTCATTTATACAGTTATTATTGAAATATTCCTTTTTTTTATTCTAAAATATCTCTCTGAATGTATATCTCACAATAACAAATTAATACAAAATATAATTTTAATAGTATCAATCGAATAAAACAACTACTTAAAATGGATTATTATATATAATAATTGTTATTTTTTTTTATAATATTTACCGTTAGAGAATATTCAAGGATAATTTAAATGAAAAACGAATAAATGTATGTAATAAGCAGTTATATAACGAAGTAAAAGAGTAAATTGCGAGAAGAAAATCAAATGTTTTTATTTTTTTGTCGCAATACAGTAAGTAATATACATGAATGCTTTCTATGTCATATTAACACAGACAAAAACAAATGTTTTATGATAAATGGATGTAAACACTAATCTTTTTCTTCCCAGGTATAAATCTTATTAACCAGCTATTATCACATGATGATCGAAAAAGAAAAATATATATGATAAACTCAATTACTCTCAAAGGTTTATTCACATATGTGCAAATGTGAGAAATTTATATTGACGTACTTATTTTATATGATTTTAGCTTATCGTTTGTATATAATAAAAAATTTACCTTTCTTTTCTTTTGATCGTAGGATAATGATAAGATATATTTTTCTTGTTGTGTGGCAATTGCGTATATAATCTGTGTGGGTATATGTATTAAACTACGTAAAAGTCTATTCACTGTATCAAAATATAAAAAATGATATAATTTTTTGATAAAAAGATTGATAATGAGTCATGAGACATATACAAACATGTTCACGATACAAAAGTCAAAAATAAACGATAAATGATTCAAATGTTAATCATAATATGATCATCAACATATTAAAACTAAATGCTATTGTAAAATAAAAAATCAATATTTATTTATTCAAGTATCTATTAAATACATCAAAATCGATTTTTTTATCTTGAGAACATGGGTGTGGATTGAAAATAAAGATAATCTTCTCATCAGTTTTTAAGTACACAAAAGAAAATTTTTTATATATTTAAAAGATAATATACAGAAACATCATCTTCAACATGATGAAGACGATTATTGGCATACCATTTAATACTAATGTTAATAGACGTTTTGATAGAATATTGTATAATTCAAATCATTTTTCCTCTCAGTTAGCTGACGAATTTTGTCGATGAATAAAAGTATTATTTCCAATTGATATTTTTTGTTAATATGGCATTTGTTTAAATAATTTGATTAAAAGTTTATGACAAATACATTTATCTCTTCAATAACTGTCAGAATAATGAAGAGAACACAGATGATAAAAAAATATTCTTATCATCATCAATATATGAATTTATGTAGAAAGATAATTATTGATTAGGACGAGATATGGCATACGTTTGGCGAGTGATTGAAATGACATAGAATATTTTGTATAACATCCTATGAAATAAAGACAATGAATAGAATAAAATAATATTTCAAAATTTAGTTGAGAAACATGAATTAAATCCATAAAGATTTTTCATTCGAAATAGTAATGAATAAATATATATATATAAAACAAGTTTTATATTCAGACGGTTCATCACTTTCAATACCATATCCTAATTGATTTAAAGTTAATAAACTTTTTATTCTTTTGTAATGTAAATTTTTTTATGTAATTATTAACCAGAAATCTTTACTTGATTTAATATAATTTCAATTCATATGAATTCTTTCAAAAATTTTATAATTTGAACAATACTGATCAATAAAGAGTTGAATTGCTTCTATTGATACATATTTATTATCCATATTGAATCGATTAGGATATTTTGTATTAATAGAAAGATATTTTAAACGAAAAAATTATTTATCATCGTTTTAAAACTATTAAAAATAATGTATCTTGTGATATCGCTAGTATTTCCATTTTCGGCATATTTGATTTTTAAACCTTAAATATTTGGTGTGTGTTGAAGGTGTAGATGTAGGTAAGATAAATAAAGCATGCGCACACCCACACCCTTATTTCTAATGCTTTATTTTTCTTCTCAAAGACAATATGATATAGAAATAGTTTTATATTGAATTTGTTATAAGAATAAACTTTCTTAAGAGTAGCCGAGATAATTATTGTGCAACGTAAAATTCGTTTTGACATTGCAACTATCTCTAAGATTATATTTTTCATATTTAATACCTATGTTAGTTAACGATAAAAGACTAATACGGATTATTAATTATTGCTTGTCAGGAATACTTTCTTTGAATAAGTATTAATTGATCGAAAAATAAAATCTAAGAAGAAATTCAATGTTATCGATTTAATTCAAGAGAATAAATTAATACAATAAAAAATTGTGGGGAAAAAATTAGCATTGATTCGAGAATTTTTTTTTTTGATTTCGTATCCTTCACCATAAGCAAAGTAAACTTTGATAATATTCTATTTAACAATTTATATGAATTATAATTAGAGTAAACGAATAATCGCAATATATCGTTAGGAAATGAACCATACAGCAGAATACTAATAATCCATTTAATCAAATTAAAGATCGCCTAAACCTTTTAATTTAATAGTCTTGTTCGAAAATCAATCTAGACATAACAGAGATGAAAAAAAACACAAACGTTAGAGGTGAGAAATATATCTTTGAGCTTAAGAATACAAAAAAAGAATTTTTTTCTAGTATGGCCATTAGATTTATGTAACTTAATCCTATAACTTACTCGAAGAGAAAAACTAAAACGATAGTAAAATATTCAACAGTAAATCATGTAATTCATATACATGTACAGAAACATGGCAACAACAATGAAAAACATGTAAAACTTTATCTCGTTCATCAGTGAAAAAAGATTAATCTTAGTCTTGATTATTTTCTTACAAACTTTCGATATTTTGCTCTTTAGTCTTCTTCTTTTCAGGCAACTAGCACGTTCGTCTTTCTTTCATATGTAAAATAATTATATTCCTTTTTGATAGAGAAAAATATAGGTAACATAGAATCATCTTACAAAAAGTAAAACAATAAATATAATCAATCTATATTATAAGTCAAATTATATTTCAAATATTTAGTAAATTCAATTGAAAACAAAATTTATCAACCCGTTAAAATATGAATATTAATAGTTAATTTTAAGATTTCAATATGTATAAATAAGTATATGATGTAAAAATGCTAGTATTTATTTGGACAATTTAAAATTGAAGTGAGCAGTAATTCTTTAGCAATTATATATTACGAAATGAATAATAATGGATTGATTAAGCTGCAATAATAAATATATATGTGAGCAAGAATAGATTTATATTTTAATAACAGGAAAACAACTATTTTGAGGGTGTGGGTGTGGTTTGATGAGAGTCGCTCTAATACTTATACCTAGACTCACACTCACACCCACATCCATGGTATTCAAATTATTTCTCAGTGTGGGAATATTCTCCATGTGGAAAATTCCCGATATAAATGATGGAGATATCTTTCAAGAAGCAATGACTGAAAAACTCTGATATTATTCCCATTCACTCTCTCTCTCTCTCTTTCGAGTGTTTACATTGTGTGACAGTGATGTAATTCAGGTTAAGTTAGAGATGGGAATTTTCCCAGTGAATGTATAAATTTGTACATACAAATAGATACGTTATCAACAGAAAAAGAAGAGGAAAACGCATTACATATTCAACGAACATCAAAGTAATTCGTCCCACTTGCGTTTCCTCCCACTTCATCTAACTCAACACGTCTTTATTCCGTATATATAGCTCCGCTCCTTCATTCGTTTCATTCAGTCTTCTTCTCATCATCATGCAGTTCGCTTTGCTCCTCTTCTTTCTTCTCTCGACTGCTTACGTCGATGGTTGGTCTCTCAAAGTTGTTAACAAAGTGAATCCATGCCCCGGTCGTGACTACCCGACCCTGAAGTTGTTCACCGCGAATTGGCAACAAACAGATTTACATAAAGGTACATCTTCTGTTCTCTTTGAAAGATATGAACAAGTAAACGCTTCTTACCTCTTCTTAGGTTGGTATATGGTGATCGATGGTTCTCAAATTCCATCCACCGGGTTGGGAATTCAAGAGAATGGAATGTACTGCCGCAGTAATGGGAATGAAAATGGCTGTATCAACCCGGACAACGCTGGCATGCAACTCGTTGTCAATCACGGAAACTGTAACAGCTACCAATTGAAAGATCCGTTCTACTGTGGAAAACACCCGCCCAATGCGAAGAACTTCGTAGATGTCCGCATGGGTGGACGATGGCCCAATTGCGAGGTTACTTTGACAAGAAAGGCCAACGCACCTCGCTGCAATTTTTCATGTTAATCACTTTTTTTTATATTTTGAGCATTCATTTTCTCAAATAAAAGAAGAATACAGCAATCAAATAGTTTGTGTGAGGATGGAGGTGAATGAGTCGAGCAACTATGACTGGTTTCGACCTTGCTAAATGTCTCTTCAGATCACTCAGTCTTAAAGTAAAACAAAGTTCTTATTAACATTTATTATTCACGAAATATCCATAAAAAATACTGCTTAGTATCATGGAGATATATGATACATGGATCCAACCAGCTACTTTTATACCATAATCAGACAGCCATCTATAGATACGTGGAAAAATCCAGTGGAAACGAAGTATCACATACACACACACGTCATTATCGCGACAAAGATCATCAATGGAATTTTCCCATATGACCAATCTTAGCAAAGAAATAACCTACAAGAATTTATTATCATATCAAATTAGAAACAGTGATATAATGAATGTGTATATGAGGGAATTTTCTTCATTACACTTAGGTGTATGTTTTTTTTGTTCTTTCCTTGTTATATGACGACGAGAAAAGAAAGAAAGAAAGAAAGATAAAACAAAGTTCTTTTTTGCTTTATTCATTTTTTTTCTCTGTACTATCGAACATCTATCAGCAATACGACAACAACAACAACAAGACAGTACAGAGAAAAAAAATGAGAGAAGCAAAGAACAAAAACAACATACATCTAAGAATAGTGGCGGAAACTTCCTACATGCGCATAGATACAGTTACTCTGCCACTGTTTGTAATCCGATATGGTAATAAATTCTTGTGGATTTTTTCTTCACCAGGGTTAGTCACGTAGGAAATTTTCGCTGATGATACCTTATTCTCTCTCTCTTGATGATGATGTGTAACGACTTGAAAGTTTTTTCGATTACCCAGAGTTCGCCCGATCGGAGGGTGTGACACCCCCCTTCAATCTTTGAAAACTTCTATTTTTTGCTCAACAAAATCGGCAAATCTTCTTAGGATTTTTACCAAAGATAATGCTACACCCCCCAAAAATTCAAAAAATTTCGTTACACCACCCCCCGCCCCCCATGTTGGCTGACTCAAGCCACCCCTGCTCTTGCCCATGCAGGACACAGTCAAATTAAAACTGATATATTAAGGAGTATCATCATCACAGTTCCCAGATTTGTTCTATAACGATCTTTTCAAAGGAGAAAATTATCTGTATTTTCTTCTTCTTCATATAAAAACCCGTTATTCAAATTATTTCCCAGCGTTGGAATATTCTCTATGTGGAAAATTCCGGTTATAAATGACGAAGATATCTGTCAACAAGTTATAGGGTTACAAGAAGCAATGACTGAAAAGCTCTGATATTATTCTCATTCTCTGTCTCTCTCTTTCATGTGTTTACATTGTATAACAGTGATGTAATTCAGATTAACCCTTCGTGGCTGTCTTCATTTCTATGATTCATGGCTGTCGTACGGTCCACTCGGACCCATCTGCAGAAAAATGCAAAAAACTCATTTTTCCTTAGCTCTACGCGTTCTATTCGACTTATATGAAGGCATAGACATCGTTATGAATAAAGATTTATGAGTTAGTTCTCTTGGAAGTAGTACAAATATATCAAAAAACAGATAAACTTTTAAACAAATCACAAGCAGTAAATGTAGTTTTGATCATAAGAAAATGACATAAACTAAACTGAAACTTTTGAACGCCATTATAAATCATCAACATAATAGTAAACTTAGTAACGAATCAAAGAAATTATTTTAAAAATACCTATAAATCAACAGATGGCAGCTTTACTAGAGAAAAAAATGTGTTGGAAAGAGCAAAATTGTCCTGGGTCTAAGCGGACCCATAGCGCCGTTTTTATCTATTAGACTTATCTGTGATTTGAAATAAAGATGATATAGACCGACATAGGACTAGTGATGATATAAAAGGATAAGTCAAACACAGAAGTCCTTGGTGTACTTTTAAATGAAAATCTATGAAATGAGTCCGCGTGGACTCCACGACTGAAAAAGAAGAGAAAACATTATTACATATTCAACGAACATCAAAGTAATTCGTTCCATCTGCTTTTTCTCCCACTTTATCTAACTCAACACGTGCTTATTCCATATATATATATAGCTTCGCTCTTTCATTCGTTTCATTCATTCTTCTTCTCATCATCATGCAGTTTTCTTTGTTTCTCTTCTTTCTTCTCTCGACTGCTTACGTCGATGGTTGGACTCTCAAAGTTATCAATGAAGTGAATCCATGCGCCAATCGTAACTACTGCACCCTGAAGTTGTTCACCGCGAATTGGCAACAAAGAGATTTATGTCTAGGTATATCTTCTGTTCTCTTTGAAAGAGATGAATAAGTAAGCACTTCTTTCCTTTTCTTAGGTCAGAATAGGGTGGTCGATAGTTTTGAAATTCCCTCCACCGGATTGGGAATTCAAGAGAATGGAATGTACTGCCGAAGCCATGGAAATGAAGCTGGCTGTATCAACCCGGACAACGCTGGCATGCAACTCATTGTCAATCAGGGAAACTGTAACAGCTATCAATTAAACGATCCTTTCTACTGTGGAATACATCCGCCCAATGCGAAGAACTTTGTAAATATCCGCATGGGTGGACAATGGCCCAATTGCGAGGTTACTCTCACGAGAAAGAACGACGCACCTGGCTGCAATTTTTCATGTTAATCACCTTTTTTTTTTGTTTTGGCCATTCACTTTCACAAATAAAAAAAAAATATGAATGCGAAATTTAAATAATCAATAAATCAATTTTTTTTCATCAATTTCATCTTTAATGTAAATTTCTTTTTTCTTAAATTGATTAAATTTATTCGAATAGACAACATTTTACTTTGTTATTATCAGAAAAAAATATTTTTCATATATCAAATTTAATCTACAATCATAAACTATTCTGAATTCTTTTTTTCTTTAAATTAAAAATATACGGCTATATTTACTAATTAATGAATTATATCTACTTGAATGTAGGCATTAGTTGGTTGACTATATGTACATGAATGTATATAACCAACTACATAATCATTCTCTCTAATGACATCATTTACACAGAACGAAAAAATATTTCAGTGTATATTAATCAAATGCTTAATATAAAAGAGTAAAACTTACGTAATGATAGAGGTAGTAGTAAAGAGTTTGTAAGTATTTTTTGGAAAGATAAGAATAGAAGAAGAAGAAAAAAAAAACGCTGTCTTCAAGATAAACAAATGCATGGTCTTGTATTCTTTTTAAATATGTTGCAATGAATTATCAACGATACTGGTATCGATATAGATCAAAGATTATTTGTTTATGTACCATATTTATAATATTTTACATATCTTATACATCTTTACATCATGTTACCAAAAGAAGATTCACATTTAAAAATGGTTTTGAACAGGATTATATTCAAGAGGAAGTAAATAAATATCTTCAAATAAAAAATGAATATCAATTAACTGGTATTATACTTCATTGGAAACGTTTAACTGGTGTTCAACAACTTCTAAGAACAATGCTAGATTTTGATGATATGTTTTCAAATATAATTATTTGGAATAATAATCCAACTATAAACTTAACTTTTCAAGATTTATCAATTGATTCTAATGATCGTGTTATAATATTTAATTCAGATGTTAATATAAAAGATCTAGCAAAATATCGTGGATGTGCATTAGCTAAAACAAAAGCTTGCTTTTATGCTGATGATGACTGGGATGTAAGATTGTATGCAAGAAGTTTATATTCACATTTTCTTCTTGAACCAACCATACTTCATGCAATAACAGATCAATTTACTTATTTTACTAATTTAATGTGGTCATTTTTCGATGAAACCATTGATTTACATACTGGTTTTAGTTGGATTGGTTGTGGATCGATTTTTTCGCGTGAGAATGCTATTCGACATCTCGAATACTTAGATTATTTTCTCGATAATGATGAGCATCGAGGTAAGATATTGAATAAAGCGATTTTTGTAGTTATATTTATCAAATTTTTAATGATATATTTGATTAGATATGATGCCACAAGGTGATCAATTTTTTTCTATTTGGATGAATCAACTTCCCGCTCAATTCAATGGACGTATGCTTCATTCTGATGAAGGTGCTTCATCATCATTTGAAAATTTTGATTTTGAAAGCGTACAATATAAAGCATCAGTTTTATCTATTCAAATTCTTGAACGATCTCTTCGTTCTTCTCAAAATTCCGAATTATTTGAACGAAAACGTGCATCAAATACTTTAGTTACATACACAAAATCTCCCTGTTCATATAATGATAAATTTATATTTTTTACTAGTTGTTTACCAATTGATAATCTCAAACAAATACCATTTAATATAACAACTGACATTAACCGTGGTACACGAGCAAATTTACCTAATATGCCGAATTGTCCATATAAAGATGTTCATACATTTTTTGAAGCTTTTAATACAGCTAATGCTGTTGATAATGATAATAAAACATGTTGGAAAACACATCGTTATATAAAATCGGGAGATTTCTATGGTATTGATTTTCAAACAATACAATTAAATCGTAATCTATCATTTTCAATTAAATATTCACATAAAAAGTCGTTACAAAAAAGATTAGAAATATCAATATCACTTGATAGTTATACATGGATTTCACTTCCTCAACAAAATCAATCAGGAATTATCTATAGAAAACATTCAAAATTAGTTATTTTTCATACAAATTTATTTCCATATGGTTTTCAAGTATTTCGTTTTATTCGATTTATGTCATTAATAGATGAAGAACGTGTTTTTCGTATTTGTGAAGTACGTTTAATTGATTAAAATAAATAAATATATAGAAACTATTTTATATGTTTTTTCTTTCTTACTGACTTTAATCAATAGAAGACGGGTTAAAAAGTAATTAACTATGGAATTTTGTCTTCGATTTTATAATTGATAGACTATAAGCAAATACTTGTATTGCATTAAGCAATTCAAGTAATTGTCAACATACATTAGTACTCAAAAAAAACATATCCTCTTATGAGCTTTTAATATTTAAAAAGTAATAGATTTCGATTATTTTTAATAATATGTATGATAATTATCATTCTAATATTATCAAATTGTTTCTACTATGAAATGCATTTCTTGATTTTTTTATGAATAAAAATATTGTTTTGAATAATTCAACAATAATAACAAAATTCTTTAAATATTTAATCTAATAAGCAATTCATATGCCCTATTATAAACCATGGAGAATTTGTTAACTATAAAATGTTTTCTTGGGAAATCATCTCGAAGAATAATAGAAAATCATAGATTTTGACCTTGATAACGAGAAAAAAACAAGCATATTATTATTTTAACTATTTTTAATTGATAAAAAATCTATTGACAAATAGATAATTTAGTTATTTTATTAGTTTTCTTCATATATCATCCTTTTGCTTTTTGTTCTTCAAATAATATCAAAACAAAAAGTGAAAAATAAAATAAACACTCATGCATACATACAAACAAGAAAAGAAAAATACACACATTGACATCATCAGTTTTCAAATAGAAATAAACAAGAAAAAGTGCGAGAGAGAGAGAAAGAGAAAAAAATTTGCTAATACTAAAAAGTTTTTTTGTTTATAAGATATATTCGCGCAAGTATGATTTTCATATTGTCATATAGAGAGAGAGAGAAATATATATTAATGATCAAGGATGTTCATATCACAGTTAAACAAAAAAAAAATAGAACTTATTTGTATGTGCGCGGCGACTAGAATCTATTACATAGAAGGTGTATGTAATTATAAAAAACGAAAACAGATACATGTTTGACTAGGAATAGATGACAAATTTCCTGAGAGAATTACAAAAAATCTGGCCGGGATTTATTGACTAGATTATAATGATTACACAAATATTCCACCATCAGCATCTTGTGCTCGTTTAAAACTATCCCATAATGCAACCATTATTTCTCCCATAACAACATCATTTGTATTTAATGCAACAAGACGTAAAACTAATACACCATCATGTCTTAGATATTTGTTTGAAAATGTATTGAATAATTTCCTATCAAATGCTTCACGTGTTATACGATTCATTATTTTAAGATATTTTTTAAGAAAATGTTCACGATTAAATGGTAAAATTTGTTCCCATATGCATATTAGAAAACCATATGAAGATAGGACAGAAACAATGACAAGCCAAAACCATATGAATATAAAAATTTTTTCATTAAATAAATTCACAGGAAGCACGCACTGGAGATTAAACAAAGAAAAAAATAATTATTTTATTTGTCTCTAATTGCTTAGTAACAGATACTAATATTCTTATATACTAAATATATAGATATTCGAAATCGGCTAAATTGTTATTTGATAGTAGTGATATAGTTAACAAGTCTATCTTTTCTTGTAGTATTTAAACTAACCTGTATCGTATGTTTATGTATATGATCAGCCATCGTTCGAATTTCGAAATCACACATTGTAACTCGAGGAAATCGTGCTGAACGACAACATTCACGACCTGATAAAAAATTTTTTACAACTTCAATTCCATAGCCATGATAATTTGAACCCATAAAAATCTTAAATCAAAACAAAATATATATAATTCTATATATAAATAAGAATTCTTTACATTAAGTAAAAATAATTGACCAATAACATTTGAAATATACAATAATTTGACACATAAATAAACAAATGTTAAATAATTGCCTTGAGCACGACCAATAATAAAAACTGGACAATGACGACGAAAAACACGTTTAAAGTGGGAAAAAAATCCTGTGCCCATTTCACGTTGAATTTCAAGAGCACGATCAATATGTTTAGCTATATATCTGAGAGTACGATCTCGTATATCAGGATTTAATTGTTCCATACTATGTAATGTTTTAACAAGATTAGCTATATCAAAGCCTGTTTTTGTAGCAAGTGCATGCCACATGATAGAGGGAATGTAGAAAAGCACAGACATTAAAAGTAATATAAATGGGATCCATTGATAATAGGCTAGAAAGAAAGAAAGAAAGAAGTATTAAAAAATAATATAATTATATGAATATGAAAACAAACCAATATGTTTGGGTCGTTCATCATGTCTAGCTGGTAATGTGCTTTCAAATGGGACATAATAAGTATTAGATATCCAACAGATGTAATTGGCATATTCAACATGTGAACCTAGAAAACAAATTAATATTTTTAGAGGAAGTCTTTTTTGATTTACAATCAGGAAATTGCTGGTTCACTATTTTTTGTCAAATTTCGTAACCGATAGATTAAAATCCGGATCCGGTCGAGAACAGATTTAACTTCATTGAATAAGGAAAAAGAGTTATTCAGTATTGTCTTTCTTCCTATAGTTCTATTCCGATTCAAAAGCTATATATAACCGGATCTCAAGGTAAAATTAAATACTGATACGGATCTAATAATTTTTTTTCAAATGTAATTATTTCTTCATTTTAAAAATACAAGATCATTTTTCTTCTCCATATTTATTTTTAATTTCTCGTTTATAATTAAATACAAATGTTTATATCAAATATCCAAGATAAGAAATTTTTAATTTTCTATTTTCACTTGACAATCAATTAAAATGTTGAAACTATAAAATGTAGATTAACATTTTATAGAACATCATTATTTATATATAAGCATAATTCTATTTACCGGTAAATTGTGCAGGAGCAAAACAAGCGATTGGATCACCAACGTATTGTTTCGTCGATACAACAACAGTAAATAACATGAGTAGTACGACTGAAAATCGTCGTGATAATCGATCGTATATATCGTCATCATTGTGAAACCGAAATTGGCGTACTTTGGCAATGGCATCGAGAAAGCCCGCTACCATGCTGAAAATAAAAAAAGGAAATAATCGTACAGATCAAAATTCTTTAGTAGACTTCATTTCTCAATATAGTCAACGTATTGATGAACGTGAAATAAAACCTTAGAGAACATGATAGTATATAGGGAAATGTTTTTATCATCATATGTTTTTCTTTTCTTTTCTTTTCTTTTCTTCTTTTTTTGTTTCTTAGTTAAATAGAATAATAGAAATAGTCATTTATTAACATCTTTATTGTATCGATAGATAACAAACTTTTCCCTTGAAGACACATACTAACAATAGAAAAATGATTAAATAGAATAATTAATATTATTCCCATTTGATTACGACATTACTAAGTATCAACAATTAGTCTATAGTATGATCTCTTAACTCATTTTCTTCTACTATTGATCCAAATCATTTCTTTCTTCTCGTCTTTCAATAAAACAAAAAAAAACGAGAAAATAAATATTTAGTAAACATATTTTTAGCAAAAAAATTCAAAATATTAATTTTCTTTTTTCTCAATTTAAATTGTTTTTTAGTACGTATATAGCTTAGTATTGTCGATACATTGTTCTATAAATCTCATCAAAGGAAAATACTTCTTTTATTTGATAAAATCCTCTATTCTAACATCATAGAATATTCATTAGTTTTAATCTATACAAAAAAAAATGGATATTTTATGTAATCTATCTAATCCACTAGAAGATATTCTTACCTTTGTTATTTTCTAATTAAGTTTTCTTTGATGAAGGAAACAAATCTTATTCTTTACTCCGCCTTTCGATCAATAATGATTTATCTTTTTTCCTCAATTCGACATATGTCATTACTCATTTCCTCTTTCAAACAGATCAATAATTATTTTCATCAAATTCGTACAAATCTCACTCATCATTTTCCACCTTTTACAATATATTTTTTTCAATTTTGTGTTATCTAATAACATCACTAACTCATTCATTTCAATTTCTTGTTTTTCAAGGACAAAAAAAACTTCTATGTCATCATGGGAAATATTAATATATCGAAAAAGCAAAAGTATCATTGGTGCAGCACGCACCGAACATTTACCTGTGAAAACTATAAAGCATGCTGATAAATTTTGTTTAAAATAAGTCTTTTTTTGAGTAAAGATCATTATTCATAAATGTGTACATTTATCGATAAAATAAATATAAACGTAACTCAATCTATTGTTTGTTTCTTCTAGTTATTGTTGTATGCTTTTATAAAACACCATCCACCATATATACGATATAAGACTAGGCAACAAAGTCATTCATTCTTGTTCAAGCACTACCATAAGCATATTGATTGGATCGAACCTAGTCTTTTTTTTCTTTTCTCTCTCTCTCCTTCTTTTTTCACGCGCGCGCGTTTTTTTTCTCTTTTATTTTGTCAATAAACAATGAAGAAAATCTATTAATACCCACTTTCTGTTTCATTATCGGGAAAAACTCATTCTTTATCGATTGAACAACATGAGCAAACAAAGATAATAAATGGAAAAAAACGTTGATAGACGTAGGTTAAAAAATTATAAAAATCATTTCTCGAGTTTTCTACTTCTTCTTCTTTTTATTTTTATAGGCCATACTCAAGTTCAATCAAAAAAAGAATAAGAAATTATTGTCAATATAATATTTATCAGAATGAAATATGAGAATATTACAAAACAGATTTTTATTAACATCTGTCAAGATAATATATTTCGAAATTAGCAATAGTTTTGGTTTCGTTGATGACTATTTATATGATCTTGTGTAAGGTCATTTGCCGTGTCATATACGTCAATAATTATATTTTCGAATGGATCAGACAAGACATTAGTTGACTAATGATCTGTCATTAATTAGAACATATTAGATATTAGTGTTCAATGCGAACTATTTCTATTGAACTAGATCGAGTGAAAAGCGCAAGATACAACTCAATTATGAATAGAGATTAAAAAAAAACTGTCG